GAACTTTTAAGATTTATTCTCTTAGCAGCTTTCCAATACACAATGCAGTATCATTAACTCTAGTCACCGTGCTGTACATGGATCCCCAGAAGTTATTCTCTTACCCTGAAGTTGGTATCCTCTGACCACTTCACTCTTTCCTTCCACTTCAACCCCCACCCCTGGCAATTACCAATCTACTTTCATAACAGCGTTTAAAAATATATACATGTTCTGTTTCCAACTTTTTATAGGAAGCTGTAGCACAGTGGCTAGGAGTCTTTCTTAGTTCCTAATATTCCACCTCCCATGGGTAAAAGGGAACACAACCCATCAGCAACAGATGATAAGATAGGAAAGCTGCGGAGAATAGAACGGTAGTGAACGGCCAAGGTTAAGGCATGAACTTGCTCTGAGGTGTGCTTGTCCCTCCCTCTCGTGGCGACACAGGGCTGTGCAGGGTAATATAAGAACCACTCTACTTCACATGCTGGAGAGGAAAAGAGTCTCCTTTACACATTCTTACCAACAGCAACTCACTCTTTGTAAACAGCAGGTAGGTTGTAATATGGTTAACACAGTGGACTCTGGATTGGCCTGTGAGGTTAATCCTAGCTTCATCATTGCTAGTTATTTGATCATGGATATAACACTGAATCTCTTTTAGACCCTTTAGTTTCTTTTCTTGCAAAATGAGGCTAAAACAATCTCAGTGCAATGTTTTGAGGATTAAATAAGATAATAGGGCACAGAGTAAATTCACAATGAATGTAGTTGTTCTATTATAAAGAACTTTATAATTTTCAAAACCTTTCATGGCCATGACCTTGTTTGATTTCTCCAAAAATCCTCCTAAGTGGGATTGGGTTTGTATTAGCCTGGTTAGATGTGAGAAAAAGAATTTATAGATTAACACTAACAATCCTACACCCTGACCAGAATAAGTTAGGTGTCACAATGTATACATATGTTTGCCTCCACTGAATATCCATAAGTAAATAGATGTATTTATCAGGAATGCTGTATTTCCACCTTGCCTATTAAATTGGAAGTTTAAATTTTCCCAAGCACATGGTCAATTGTTGCTGTGAGGTTTGTAATTGAATGAGTTTCTGTCAATGCATTTTGTACCTTTACAACTTTTTGTAATATCGCCTGCAATCTAGTCAGAGATGACCCAATTGAGTGGTAAATACAACGAGAATTAAAATTTAAGCCACACAATGAGAGACATGATTCTTAGTCCCATCACTTCACAGCAATCCTGACATACAAGCTATGGCATGCAGCATGCAAAATATTCACTTACACCTTGAAGAGCTTTAGAAATCTAGTAGCATGGTCATTTCATTACTTATTTACTTTTGTTATTTCACTTGGTTGTAATTTTGGGCATCAGGTGTTAATTCTTTGCACCTACAACTATGCTATTCAGGGTAGGTTTTAATTCCTACACTTGAGATTCTGTCAGGCAGTGTTCTTTATTCAGGGCGGTGTTGCTGGAAGTATCATCTCTGTGAAAGCAAAGAGCTCGCAGAACCACCTGGAACAGTAACTTTAATGGTCAAATATCAGCAGAAAATGTGCTTTTGAAAAAGGATACTCATAGAAAATCCATGGAGATAAGACATCATATAAGCATTTCCTCAGATATCAAAGGTTTTATGTCAGAACAATTGAAGAAACTGTTCTAAACAAATGACCAACAAATCAGGAGGAAATAAAAAAAATTTAAAAATCCTCACCCAAGGATATTTTTCCATTGATTTTTAGAGAGACTAGAAGAGAGGGAAAGACAAAGAGAAATATCAATGTGAGAGAAACACATTGATTGGTTGCTTCCTGCACGCCCCCTGACCAGGGCCCGGCCAGGGAGGAGCCTGCAACCTAGGTACGTGCCCTTGGCCAGAATTGAACCTGGGACCCTTTGGTCCGCAGGCTGACACTCTGTCCACTGAGCCAAACAGACTAGGGTGGAAATCAAATTTAAAAGCACATTTAAAAAAACACACATTTACGAAATTGATAAAACTAATTAATCTACAAGATTGTTCAGAGTTTATGGTGAGTCAAATATATGGCTGTTAAACATGGTATGTTATATGAAACACAGATATTGGCTGGGAAAAATATTGAGGAATTCAATATTACCATGATTATAATACTACACAAAGATCATTATGCTTAAACTTTAGCATTACTCAAAGTCTAAAGGACAGATAGATTTCTAAATCATATGATTTATGAAAGTTTAAAATCCAATTACGTTTTTTATTAAGTTTTTAGAAAGTTAATGAACACATAGAATAGCTCTATTAATTTCTCTAAAGTTCATTTTCTCTGCTTGAAGAAAGTTTATAACATATGAGGTAATATAACTAGGAACATCATTACGTGATTAAAAGCATCATAATATGAAATGTTTCAATGTGCATTTTAATTAGCCTTGTTACCTACTTGGATGAAATTAAGTTTATAAAGTCCTCAAGTTGCATCACATTCTTTGGCCATGTTATAATACCTATAAATACATACTCATTTCATATTGATAAATGAAAATCATTGAAGGCATTGAAATTCCTTCACAAAAATATATTCATTCCACTTATATTTTCTTTCTTTTCTCTTTCTATCAAGAATTGGCTCTCTGGACTGGCTGGCATGGCTCAGTGGTTGAGTGTCAACCTATGAACCAGAAGGTCATGGTTTGATTCCGGTTAGGGCTTGATCCCCAGTGGGGGGTATGCAGGAGGCAGCCAATCAATGATTCTCTCTAATCATTGATGTTTCTATCTCTCTCTCCCCCTTTCCCTTCCTCCCTGAAATCAATAAAAATATATTATATAAAAAAGTAATTGGCTCTCTGAATTAAAGATAAAGGTTAATTTCTTCCTGTTTCTTCTAGATTTACTTAACTTATTTTTGGGTTTGTGTCCCTTACTGGGACCTATCACATCTCTGGTTCTGCAGTGACATAATGAAGATGGAACAGACCCCATATATATAGAGACTCCGAGGAGTATTTCCTTCTTTTGCTTAGTTGCACTAGCTCATACCAGCTTTAATTCAACCTATAGAGGAAAAGATAAACCAATTTTCTGCTGACTATAAAAAAGGAATCAGTTTAATCTCTTGATTAAAAGAGTGATGTTTTGTCTTGTCTTGGAGTCTTTTTACCTGCCAAGCTAACATTTTATTTATTTACTTACTCTTACACAGTTTCTCAGGGAAGAACATTAATGCCTGTTTTCATTAGTGAGTTACTTCTTTTTCTTCTTAAGATAAAGGTACATTTTCCCCTTTCCAGATACTTGTAGTCCCAGATACAAAGAGAGGGTATTGTCTTATAAATCACAATAAATATAAAGAAGAATTGCTTTGAGATTAATTTTTATCTTTAATGTTAGGATAGAGCACAGAATCAGAGGATAGAGGCAGCCAGAATCACTGGAGTGGCTGTAATCACGCTTACTGTACAATGTAGTCAGTGTGCATCTGCACAGCTACATTAACAAGGTTGTGCGGATGAAACATTTGGTTTTCTCTTAATGAGCTGTATGCAGGCAGTCCTCATGGTGGAAGTATATTTATTAGAAGGTCTGACATGCATTTCTCTTCCTAAGTAGATATTCATTAAAAATAATAGTTCCTAACAAAGAAAAAATAGTTCCTAACCACCACTATTAGATTCTATGAAAATTTGACTTCAGTTATCTATAAACTCAAGATAAAATATTTATGATAATCTACTCCTACTTTGAAACATAAAATTTCATGTTTAACTGGAACGTTATAAGAATTATGAATGTATTTATTTAACTTCAGCACATATATCTAAAGATGATCTAAGTAAATATTTATGTTAAGAATATTTTTAAAATTTACAATTATAGTAAAATAGTCAATGAAGTGTTTATCTATAGGTCAGCATCACCCCTGCAAGTAAAGTGTTAAGTTAGCAAAATTCAGATTTATTGTGTACTGAACTTTTGGCTTCAGGGAAAAGAGCATGCATAGGCACTTTCACCCATGAGTTTTCCATATTAGGCAGGGTTCTTTAGATGAAGATTTTAAAACTGTCCTTTGGACCAATCTCAGCCCAGTGAATGAGGAGAAGGGGCACATTTGATGGGTTACATCACTGAGAGGTAGCAGCCTCATGCATTGCATCATTGTTCTAAAAGCAGCTAACCTTTTGCTATTCAAGAACTGTGATCACAGTAAAGTGTTGACACAAAAATCAATCACATTCTCCTTAGTTCAAGGATGCAAGAGCTCAAAGACATAAACTAAAAGCCATAGAACCAAGCTTTACAGTATTTTTTGTGTTAGTTTCATTTAGAAACAGCTCACGCATTCTGAATTAAATCCTGTGTATAAATAAACAAGATGACAGTTATAGTCACTGAAACACTTGAGTACCTAATTGTCTGCACTGAGATCTCATTTGGTGTTGTATCAAGTTTTATTAAGCAAAGCTGAGGGGGAAATTAGCTTGAATTGCAAAAATCTTCTCTTTTTCAAATGACATAAAGCTGCTGTCAAATAAGGACATCCAGGACAACTGGGTCTTCAGCTGCTTTAAAATTTTTGGAAATCACTGGAGGGACCCAAACGTTCCTTCTGATATAGCTTTAAAGTAAGGGATCTAGTTTCTACAGAGATTTTATAAAAAATTAAAACAAGTATTTGTTTAAATATTTGTAAAGCACCTTTACGCTTATATAAATTACCCCAAATTGCACTTTAACAACTTGGGAGGGGGGGGGGAGGAAACTAGAGAGCAAAAATATAGAGAAAATCAAGGTCCCACATGCAATTACCATACTCATGGTAATTTTATTGAAATTATATGTTAGAATTCATTTACCTTTTAATCAGGATTCTCTCCTCTCCAAATCTACCAGTTCGCCTAATAATGGCATTTGTCTCGATGAAAAAAATATACCTTATGCAAGTTTCTAGAGTTCCCTACTGTCGAAAGATGTTTCAGTGACCAAACTATTCACCCGTTTAGTTACCTTAATGGCAGAGAGGTCAATTTTTTCTTCTTTGGGTGGGGCAGGTGCAGGTGCTGGGGCAGGGGCTGGGGCAGGAGCAGCAGCCGCAGGTTTCTTCACGTCCTTCTTTGGTGCCATTTTGTTGAAAAGAATGGGTTTTTACAAAAGAGAGAGAGAAGAAGCACCTCCAAAAGAACCTGTCAAAGTGATTCTTGGAAGAGGAGTGGCGGTGCGGTTGATCCACGGCCCAGTGTCTTGAAGGTGGCCCCAGGGTATTAAGTGGCATAAGGGCCTGCGTATATATTTCACTTAGTGCCTAACAGAATCTCGCACATGAGGCTGGATTGGACAGCACGCTAGTCAAGGGGGATGGCATTCCTACTCTGTCTATAAATGGAGTCTAAAGGGTCAGGGCTTCATCATATTTTTTTAAACTCCTCTTGCTTTTTTTTTCCCCCCACCTCCCTCTATAAAAGAGAAAGACGTATGCCAAAGCCAGTCTCAGATCCTTTGGTGATAGTAAAGTTGATGGACGGATACTATTTTCTTCGTGGAATTATAATTCTGCTGAAGTTGTAAATCTTTTTTTCTTCACGCCATGCCTAAGAAGCGGACTGAAGGATTCTATTTCAACTTGGAATTTTGGCAGGGAGTGTCACCAACTTTCACCCAGCTCCTTTGCTCATGCTCCTCCCCCCTTGCCATAACTCGCAAGAATATGTTGGTCAGCAAAGAGGACGGGATGTTTAAAAATAAAAAGCAGACGTATAAGGAGAGCCCATCAAGTCTTAAACTGGTTTCCTTTCTAGGGAGCACAATCTCTCTCTCTCTTTCTCTCTCTCTCTCTCTCTCTCTTAAACTGGATGTGGATGCTAAAGGAAAATAATTTAAAAATACTTTTTATAACTTAGTTTTCTTTCTATAATTTAATGAAAAATATCAAATGGAATGGAAATGACAACAAGATTTACCCTCTTGTCAAATAACTTCTTTTTAACAGTGACTTTCAAAGTAGACACCCATTTTATTTCCTAAATGGCATAAAGTCTGATTATTTATTTATCACCTACATTTTTTTTATCCATACTAAAGAGATAAGATAAATTCTTAAATTAACCTAAGTGGCCAGAGAAATAAAAAGAGAAAAGGACTTTAATTATCACTATGGTGTAAGTTTGTTTGGGTGAGTAACAGGTTTCTCTTCTGTCCTTGGGGTCCTCAGTTTGCAAGGCTAGACTCTCATATTAAGAAGCATAAGAATGCCCAGCAGGAGTGGCTCTGTTGGTTGAGTGTCGTCCTGTGCACCACCGAAAGGTTGCAGGTTCAATTCCTGGTCAGAGCACATGCCTGGTTTCAGGCTGGATCCCCAGTAGGGGTCATGTAGGAGGTAGCTGATCAATGATTTTCTCTCATCATTAATGTTTCTATTTCTCCCTCTCCCTTCCTCTCTCTGAAATCAATCAAAACATGTCTTTAAAAAAAAGCATACTGGTAAGAATAACTATTGTACTATCCTTACTTCTGTTCTTTCAGGTTAATTAATGAGTAGGCATTAATTAATAAACAAGCAGTAGCTAATTTGAGATTTTAAAAGAGCCATATTTATTCATTACATATATAAGAGCATATATACACATATACATATATACATTTATGTATATAAATATATATGCTGATACTCATTTCTTACATATAAGACAGTCATGAGAATCTGAGCATATTTTATCTAAGTATAGTCTTTGTCTCCAATTTAAATAATTAGAGGAGAATTTAAAAATAATGCCATGTTTTATCATATATACGCTATTTTTGTAAATAGCTAGAATTTGTCCACCAGTTTGCTTTCCTTTAGATTATCAAAGGGTAGATGGGGTTTTCCTGCAATTATTGCATGGTGGATATGCTCTTACTCTAGCTCACAGCCTGTATTAATACTTTGTTCCATGTGCAGAAATCTCTTAAGACCCATGACGGGTTTACAGATAAAAGAGTTTTGTGTTTCAAGGCAAAAATTCTAAATAGGAACACATTTATTTTTCATATTTAGGGGAAAATGGCTTGATCTTACTATATTTCTAAATCCTTTAATGTTACCAAATGTATATCATGATTTATGACTTCACAGAAGAAAATGTGCTGGTGCAGAATTTTCTACTTGAAAAGTAGAAGCACAAAGGTAGAGTGCCATTCATATCATATGAAGGGTACATGCCACCAGCATGTTATTGTTGATTTTAACCTTGACCATGTGTCTGAGGTAGTTCTTGTCAGGCGCCTCCCCTAAACCCATAACCTAGTCCAATCATGCAAAAACAACAACAACAACAACAACAAACTCCAACAAAAAACAGGTCAAAACCAAATCGAGGGACATTCCACAAAATACTGACAAGCAGTTAAAAATTGTCGTGGTGCCCTTGTTGGTGTGGCTCAGTTAGTTGTAGTGTTGTCCTGTACACTAATAGGTAGTGGGTTCAATTCCTAGTCAGGACACAAAACCAGCTTAAGGGTTTGATCCCTGGTTGGGATGTGTTCGGGAGGTAGCTGATCTCTCTCTCTCTCTCTCTCTCTCTCTCTCTCCTCTCCTTTAATCTCTCTAAAATAAAATAAAAAATTTAAGAAGTCTGAGAACTGTCACAGCCTAGAGGAGCCTGAGGAAACGTGAAGAGTAAATGTAATGTGCTGTTCTGGGTGGAATTCTGGAATAAAAAATGGACATTAGGTAAAAAGTAAGGGAATCTGAATAAAGCATGGCCTTTAGCTAATAATAATGTATCAATATTGGTTCATTAGTTGTGACAAATGTACCATACTAAAGTAAGATGCAAACTATAGAGGAAACTGGAAACTTTCTTCTCAACTGTTCTGCAAACCTAAAATTTCCTAAAAGAAAAAAAATATATAAAACCCCCCAAGAACTAAAAAGAATTCTCCCTGAAACTTCGAAGAAATGAGGTATAAGATCGCATTCCTACTTAGCCACTAGTTTTTGTGTTTTGGTCAGGTATATTATAGAAAGAACTTCTCAAAATCTTCACTATTTACAGCACTGAGACCTTGTGGCCTTTTAAAAACTGATTTTCCTGTTGTGCAGAATGAGTGTGTCACTTAGCTATGCATTATTAAAATTATGTGCATAGAAAGAAGAATTTAGTAGCTTTCTGAAACTATGATCTTGAGTCATTTTATGTGATAATCAAAATGAAATTTCTCTCTTGACCCCTCCTTTTTGAAGGACTGTGTGACAAGAGTGACTTCTAAGGGGAAGGACGGGCAACAGCTGAGGAATCATGTTCTTAGTGACAGCTGATACACTCCGTGCCCAGATCTTCCAAGTGTTCTTCATGCTTAACTGTACCATTTGCTGTAGAAGCTTTTTTTAAAATGCTTACCAAAGTCCAGGAGAATGGCCGAGAAGGGACAAGTTCATTACTAAAGATGGCTCTTTATATTCTACCTTCTAATTTCATTGTGGGTTTTCCACCCAAGATTTGACACACATTAACCTGTATCTTATATGATAGGTTTTAGGTTCTGTTTGACTAAGATAAAATACTTGTTTCCTTTTTTGGGAGGTGGGGCTCAGGAAATGAGATTAACCAGTATTTCCCCTTCATTTCACTGGTCCTTACCACAGCCTAACATGCTTAACTACTACTAGGCAACCACAGGAATTTACTAATTCCACACATATTGACCACCTATTATATGCTGGGCTATGTTATAATAGGCATTGGGGTTACTAGGTGTATAAGATAGATTTGATTTCTGGTCTCTTAAAGTTCTGTTGGAAACTGGGGGCTGTGAAAGACAGTAATCAATCACATGAAATGATTTCAAGTTGTCAGAAGCAATACAAAGAAAACAAACCAAGTGCCATGAAAATAATTACTTGAGGTGAAGTGGACACCCGCTTTCAGCTGCCATTTCAGCTTAGAAGAAGACCCTTTCCTGGTAGTTGGCAGGTTTCACATAATTACATGCCCTAACAGCTGCTTCCTTAGATTTTAGTCCAAAGTTGACATACCCACTATGCTCAATAATTTGCTTACCCAAGCTCTTCTATCATCTGCAATTTATTTCCTTGTCTGAGCTTTGTCTGTAAATTACAATCCACATTTGGTGGATGAGAACTACATGGAAATCACATCTTTTTATTGACTTTCCCACTTAACAAATTGAATGAAAAGTATAGTTCCTGGTTCTGAATCTGTCAAGCCTAATACATAGCATTTATTAAGCCACACACTGTTCCAATCACAATTTGCCCCAGCAAGAATCAGACTGTATTTGTGATTTACTCAGATAATGATTATGTAGCTCATAAAGCCCAACCTCAAATCTAAAGCAAGTGGTGAATGGTTGAATTATTCTTCAATCAGAATGTTGACTAGAGAAATCTGGTTTAGTTCTCACTGACCTGACTCTGTGATCATTGACAAATTATTTTAGCTTCAGAGAGACTTAAATATAAAATGAGAGGAATGTATGAGGTAAGAGCAAACATTTCTTTGTGCTGCAAAGTTCTGTGGTTTTTGCTTTTTGAATAGAATCGTTATTATTAATGGCCATCCATTGAGGGTTAATTTGCATGATCTTCATTAATCCTTACAACTCTGAGGGAAATGTTGTGCTGCAAAGTTCTGTGGTTTTTGCTTTTTGAATAGCATCGTTATTATTAATGGCCATCCATTGAGGGTTAATGTGCATGATCTTCATTAATCCTTACAAAATGATACCATACTAAAGTAAGATGCAAACTATAGAGGAAACTGGAAACTTTCTTCTCAACTGTTCTGCAAACCTAAAATTTCCTAAAAGAAAAAAAATATATAAAACCCCCCAAGAACTAAAAAGAATTCTCCCTGAAACTTCGAAGAAATGAGGTATAAGATCGCATTCCTACTTAGCCACTAGTTTTTGTGTTTTGGTCAGGTATATTATAGAAAGAACTTCTCAAAATCTTCACTATTTACAGCACTGAGACCTTGTGGCCTTTTAAAAACTGATTTTCCTGTTGTGCAGAATGAGTGTGTCACTTAGCTATGCATTATTAAAATTATGTGCATAGAAAGAAGAATTTAGTAGCTTTCTGAAACTATGATCTTGAGTCATTTTATGTGATAATCAAAATGAAATTTCTCTCTTGACCCCTCCTTTTTGAAGGACTGTGTGACAAGAGTGACTTCTAAGGGGAAGGACGGGCAACAGCTGAGGAATCATGTTCTTAGTGACAGCTGATACACTCCGTGCCCAGATCTTCCAAGTGTTCTTCATGCTTAACTGTACCATTTGCTGTAGAAGCTTTTTTTTAAATGC